ATTAATAGAGACGATCAAGGACAATTTCACCCAATATTGCTTTTCTTTTTCTAAAGCAAAGCTTCCCCAAGCCTGGGCAAGACAGAAACGTGGCTTTGAGCCTGTGCTGCTCTCCCTCAGTCAAATGGAAATAGCTGTCTCTATTTTAGAAGTCTCTGTTGGCACCACAGTGCTGACACTTTCTGAGACAATGAAATGGACAGAAATCCATTTTCCAGGCTGGAAGGAAGGCAAAAAATAAATTGGAAGAATGAAGAGTGGAGGAGGAATTGAGGCGTTCACAGAGCTCACGGCTCAAGTGATTGGAAGTGATGGGAAGAAGGCAGGAAAGAGATTAATTTGTTTAAAATATAGGACTAGGTTTGACTTTAAAGTGCACGTTGAGCAATCCATGCTGCCATGGCTGTGCTGGGGCACCGGGCAGCACGTGAGGGGGCTGGTGCAGACACGGGGGTTCCTCTGCCCACACACCCCAGACATGGGGCAGTGACCCCTTCACTGGGGCTCCCGGCAGCCCCATGAGAAGGTTACAGCCTCTTCTGCTGATCTGACCAGGTCTTTGAGCATCAGGTGATGCGTGGGAAGCGGCCAAGCTTGGCTGGTGTGGGGCAGGTGAAGGAGGATGCCCTGCAGAAACCTGGACCGTGCCCGACCTGAAGAAGTCAAGGGGCAAGATGTGCAGCCAGCAGGACAGCACCCGGGTCTCTGCAGGTTGGTGACAGACAGGGCACAGCTCAGAGAAGCCAAGTCCTGCCCACAGCCACCAGGGAGGGACTGCAGGGTGTCGGGGGGGCTCTGCAGGGGCTCTGCCAGTGCTGCCTTCAGCTCTGGTGTCTTGGTAGGGCCTGGAGATGGGTCTGCAAAAGGCCCTCACCGCTGCAGCTCCTCACGTTGCAGCTCCTCACGTTGCATCTGGCTAATGAAGTTTGTCTCTTTTTTTGTGGCTGATAACATTAAACTCATTCTACTTCGGTTCACATCTGGGAAGCAGAGAGTTTCCTGTCTGTACAATTCCTGGAGACATTGATTTGCTGTTAGGTGGTGGCAGGGCCTGTTCCTGCCTGGCTGCGCCCGGCGCTGCGGATGCAGCCGGAGATCGATGCTGCTCTTCCCGCTCCTCGTGACAGGCAGCTCCAGAGAGCTGCTGCCCGCCATCTCTTGCTCCTCTCCCTGTTCTTCCTGCCTGTGCCCTCTGTGTGGTCCTTCCCTGAGATTGTTTCTGGAGCTGCCTGTGTGGGGAAGTGCAGGGGAGAGGGAGCAGGCAGGAGGGGCTGGCAGGGAGGCTGCTGACGTCTGCCCACGCACGAGGTGCCACCAGGGCCCGTGGGCCAAGGGGGAGCCCTGGGTCAGTGCAAGCCTGGGATCCATTTGCCAAGGCTGCCTGTTGTTGTGAGGACTGATGGGTACTAATTAAGCTGCTCTGCCTTTGTTGATTGCTGACAATGGGAGCTGCTAAACCAGCCGTGAATCTGGCTGTGGGGTTTGTGGGTTCCCAACAAGCCTGGGCTGAAGTCCCAAAACTGAAGGCAGATTTGATTCTTCAGGTCTTCCTAAAACCCTCCAGCTCCTTTCTAGGAGATTTTGATTTGTGTTTTGACAAAGCTAGCAGTTAGCTTTTGAGTCTGACTCTGGGAGGGCTCATCCACCTGAAACCAAACAAGAACCCAGGTACCTTTGCAAAGAGACACCCTGTTTGTGGTTGGCACCACTTGGGGCTCCACTGGACTGGAGGGTTCAGAGACAGGTTCCCTCCTTCTGCTTCCCTGAGCAATCATAAATGGGAGTGGAGAAAAAAGCAAGGCTGCTTGCAGGGAGGCAGCATCAAAGGACACCTTCCCATACATCTGTTTTCCAGTCTCTGGGCTGAACTGCCACTGATGGACACACTGGCACAGGTGTCAGAGCTGCAGGGCAAGTTTTTTTCCCTTCCTGTCTCAGTTTTTGTTCTTACAAGCTCATTTAGTTTGAGGTTGGTTCTGTTGTTTTCCTACCTGAGTGCTTTCTCCTTTCTCTTGAGCCAGTTTCTTTTTGTTGACACCAGGGAAGTTACTTCCCATCCATACTTGAACTGAGCAGGTTCATTAATGGTCACAGTGTCCGTGTGGAAGTGGTTACTGACTTCCAGGAGGTGTTTCTGCAAGAGAACAGGCTGAATATTTGTACAAGGCAGCTCCATCAACCAGTGTAATTCAGCAGTTTTAGGTTTTCCACCTTGAGAGACAGGATGCAGTTTATGTACATTCTCAATAAGGCCCTTTAAAAAGGTTTTACTGGCTGAGAGGGCTCTTCTTTGTTTTTATTTGCCACAGAACAGTCTATCAATTTTGTGTTCCTATAGCATGCAAACCTCTGGAATGTCTCAAACCCACCATTTGTCATAAAAACGTGGTGGTGTTTTTCAAACTGTGAATTTTGTTGTTGTTCTTCAATGTTGTTTGAAATTTTAGTTTGAGACACATGCAGCTCTGCTGTTTCCCCTAAATACTGCAGTTCTGAATGACAGAGGAAAAACATCAGTGAATTTAATAATATTTAATTAATGACAATATTTATTTAATATTACTCTGCCAGAGTTCCTCTTGCTCTTTTACCTGCCAGCTTTCTGAGCCACAGTCCTGGGGCAGTTCAGAACACCAGAGGCAGCTCCAAAGCATCTCTCCCCTGCAGGTGTTAATCTTTCCATAAACCTTTCCAATTCCCAGCATTTGTGTTGTGATAATCTCTTCTAGCAATTCTTGCAATGCTTCATTTTAATATATATTCCCTTGTCACTGCAGAACTGAATTCAGCCTCCTGGTAAGTGATATCTAAATCACTGCTGCAAGGAGGGGATGAAATATGGTGCATGAGAGGGAGGTGAAGGCAATGCCTGAACAAGGAAAAGTGGCACAGAGAGGAGGAATGTCTGCAGTGGTGTGGGGAGTGAGCTGCCTGGAGGGGCTGGGCTCATTCCCTGCTCTGGACCAGTCTGTCCCCAGCACACCCTGGGCAGATTGAGTGTGTGTTAACAAACCAAGAGCTTTGCTTCACCAAGGCTGAGCCCTCAGGAGCTCCAGCACCTTCCTGCTTGCTGGGAGCTCTCTGCTCTTACTGCAGGAAAACACCTTGTGTGGTACCCAAGAGCACCCCAGGACTAAATGTGCTGCCTTCTGCATTCCCAAGGCAAAGCTAACCCAGACCTCACTGTGCTGGTCACAGCTTTCTCCTAACTTCAACCTGAGTGATTTGGCTTGTGTTTATTCCTGTGCCAACATTGTCCCTGAGCCCCAGCAGCTCTGCTCTCCTCTCCTTTCCCTCTCCTGTGTTTGTGGAGAACGATCATATCTCTGCTCTTTGTTCCCTGAGACTCCTCTCCAGTTTCCCAGCCACCCTGCAGCCTTTTCCTGCCCAGTTTCCATCTGGGTTGGTCCCTGTTGACCATGGGTGACCAGATCTGAACAAAGTTCCAAGATAAGATCTTCCCAGGCCCCTGCACAATGGAAACTTCCATGAGGCCTGGCTGAGGCATCCACTGAGGGATGAGATTTTCATACCTGTGGGATGAGATTTTCCATCCCTCTGGGATGAAATTTTCCATTGAAATACATGTTTCTGCTGCCTTTGGCTCACCCAGCAAGCACAGGCATTGCTGAGGCAAAATGGCATTTATTGTTGTCTGGATACATTTCACTGCAACTTCATTCTTTACAGTCAATTCATGGCAACCTCTACAGATACAACTGACATTAATTTGAAGCTTGGTCTTCACAAAGGAATGTTTAACTTCTGATTGGTTTTGGTCAAGAAGTTCTTTTTCCTGTGTTGCATATGCAACAGGAATGAGCATTATAGATCCCATAACTCCCCAGGGGTTGGGAAAAGTAGGTTGTTTCCTCCTAGAAGCCTCCTTGAATCCGTGTCCAGGAGCTCCGGGCACTGCCTTCCCAGCCGGGCAGCCCCCTCAGCCTCCCAGGTGTAGAAGCTTCAGTAACTCTCATGATTCCCTAAAAAGTTGGTTTCCTCAGAGCATGGGGCTCTCTCTGGGGCCACCATCACGGGGCATCTTTTTAGGACAGACTCGTGGTGGGGGGGAAGCGCTGCCTGGGTGATCAGATCACAGAGGGAGCTGGCGGGGGAGCCAGCGCTGACGTGCCTGGGTATAAATCACCCAGGTGGCAGCAGGAGGGCAGAGGGATGGATGCCGAGGGGACAGGGAGGTTGTGAGGAAAGGTGTGTCTGCCTGGCTGCAGTTTTTATAAAAGGGCAACTGCTTCCATCTCATTTGCAGGGAAAAAAGGGAGAACGACACAGAGACTCAACGACTCCTAGAAGGTCCCGAGAGGAGCCAAGAGCCCTTCCCAGCTGGGTGCAGCTCCTGCAGGTAAAACCTTCTCTGTGCATTGAGCCTGGGCTGGTGAAGGCTGCGTGGTGGTCCTGTCATCACCTGATGGCTCTGGAAGGATGCACATGGTCTGTCTGGTGCTTGGCTGCTCCAGTTTGAGATTTTGCTGTGCACCAAGCTCCTAGTCATCTGCCTCTCTCTGTCATTTCATGGTGATAATTATTCAATTATAACTTTATAGCTAGCTTATTTTTATCACCTGAGCTTCACTGTATTGCTTTTGAAAGCAAGAAAGAACAGGAATAATCTTCAGATGCTTCCTTTTGAAAGACTCTTACCAAAACACGTGGAACTTTTCATCTAAGGGTACAGAAATACTAGCTGCTTCAGTGGCAGTTCAGGGGAAAAGCAGTTTGGTTTCTTTTGTGTGAACATGTAAAATATTTGCAGCAAGTCACAAAGAACCAGGAAAGAGCTTTTATTGACCCACACTTGGAGTCTGTCCATGCATGTGGACCTGAACAGGGTCCTGCTGCCCCAGGCTCGGGCAGAGTCTCACTTGGGCTTGATGAAGAGTAGAGGAGGGATTGAGCCCTTGAGCCCTTTCCTCCTAAAGACACCAGGGTCTCTTCTCAGAGCCTTTCCCCCACTTTTTCTCTGATGTCTTCCTTGCCAGCAGGGGAGTCTTCGAGAGCTGATGATGTTGAAGCTCTTTGGAATCATCCTTTTCTGTGGGCTCCTCTCACCCTCCCAAGAAGTCCTGTCCGGGCTGTCCTGCGCCGTCAGCCCGGGGGCCATGCAGAACGGTAACTGGAGACACGGGGGGGGGTTGCTTTGGAAACTACGTGGGACCCTGGCTGGAGTGAAACCTCTGGAGTGTTTTCATCTTTACTTTCTAGTTTCTCAGGGCTGCAGACCTTGCTCAGAGCTTCTGACAGGCCTCGCTGGGTTCCCGGGGCGGGGGAATCTCTCTGCTCCAGAACTGGGACACGTTTCAGCACAGAACAGAACATCAGGGCTAGAGCTGGATTAGTTCCTCTCTTTGTCTTAGTTTTTCGTTTCCACATTGGAGCAGCTGATACTTGACAAACAACTGCTGTGAGTTTCAGCAGCCATGTCAATATTTGCAATGCTCCAGGAAAAGAAAAAAACAAAGAAAAAAAAAGAGTTGTTTCAAGTTGCTTCTATTGAAAACAAACAAAGCCCTTTACAAATGGAAAACCAGGTGTGAGTTCAGCCCAGTCTCTGAGGGTGGTCACTGTCCTTGCTGGCAGTGTCCATGGTGTGGGATGCTCTGCCCTGCTGCCCCTCCTGGTTAAGTCTCTAAGAGCAGCTTTGGTTCAGTAAAACACCATCCCCTGTGTGCTTTGCCTGCACGGGAGAGTCCAGGGCTTTGTTAGGAGCTCCAGGGCGGGAGGGCTTTGTTGGGTGACTCCTTTGCCAGGGCAGATCTGACCAAGTGGAGAGAGCTCATTGCTGCAGGTGCTGGTCCTCATGCAGACATCTCTTCCAGTGCTCTCCAATGCCATCCTTCAGAAAGGGCTCCTCCAGCAGCACCTCCAGGGCCTGGTGCTCCCAAACATCATGGGTGATGGGGGGCCGCTGACCTCTCCCACCAGCATCACTGGGTAAGTGCAGAGTGAGGGCTGCTCCATGAGCAGTTCTGAAGGGACAAAAGCTGAGCTCCAGTTGGCATGATTTCC